TGGGATGTCCACACAGGTGGCCATGGTCAGTACACTCTGGACCACCGGGAAAGCCCTGAGTGCACCGACAGCGAGCAGGCCTGTGCTTTGCTCATGTCCATGGGTCTCTGTCTTGTTTCAACCATCGGGGCTTTCAGTAAGTAGCGTTCACCAGCTTGAGAGATTTCCTTGTGTTACAGCTTATGAAATATCTTAACCAGGGATACTGTTTTTACTTAATTAAAAAGCTTGACCCTTGTGTCCTTTGTGCCTTGGTTTGGTTTTGAAGTGGGTACAGATTCACGGCACAAACACGCGGCTAGAGACGGGAGGCTGTGTCACGGAAAAACGCGCGCTGCCCCCGTCCGCCCCTCCCGTGAGCCCTGGCGCCTCGGACTCCTGGGATTGTTTGACTTCTCGGGAACCTCAAGTGAATCATGGTGCGTGTGCCCCCCCAAGACCGGCTCCGGCTGTCGGGAACCTCAAGCGAATCATGGTGCGTGTGCCCCCCCAAGACCGGCTCCGGCTGTCGGGAACCTCAAGCGAATCATGGTGCGTGTGCCCCCCCAAGACCGGCTCCGGCTGTCGGGAACCTCAAGTGAATCATGGTGCGTGTGCCCCCCCAAGACCGGCTCCGGCTGTCGGGAACTCAAGCGAATCATGGTGCGTGTGCCCCCCCAAGACCGGCTCCGGCTGTCGGGAACCTCAAGTGAATCATGGTGCGTGTGCCCCTCCAAGACCGGCTCTGGCTGTAGGGAACCTCAAGCGAATCATGGTGCGTGTGCCCCTCCAAGACCGGCTCCGGCTGCGGCACCCGCCCTGCAGAGCCGTCCAGGCTGGGTGTGGGCCCATGTGCCTGACAGGCATTTGCTTTCCCGGTTCTAACGACCTGAGCATTGCTCCCGGGTTTCTGTGTTGCCCTGAGTTTTGCTTTTCCAGAGTGAGGGCCTGAGAGGGGCCACCGGGCACTTGTGGTTGACCTCAGAAGCTGCCGCTGGTCCCCCAAGGTAGCACGGGAGAGGCCCAGCTCCCCCTTCCCTGACCGTGTCCCTGAGAGCCAGTGGTGCTGGGACTCTTCGCAAGCCCAATGTGGCTCACAGCTCAGGCCCGGATCCTGGACCAGCAAGGAGCAGCCAGCCCTGGAGAGAATCCGCCTTGGGGCCTGCCACGCATGACTTGTTCAATGCAGCAAAATCCTTTCACGTCGGGCTTGATTTGAAAGGCAGAGAGATGGAGATCTGCCATCTGCTGGCTCACTCAAGTGGCCACAACACTGGGGCTGGGCCAGGCCGAACCCAGGAACTCCACCAGGTCTCCTCCGTGGGGGCAGGGAATCGAGCGCTCGGCCGGCTGCTGCCTTCCCAGGCGCGTCAGGAGGGAGCTGGGCTGGAAGCAGAGCGGCCAGACTTGAACCAGCGCTCGTGTGGGATGCCATCATGGCAGGCCTAGTGTGGCCCCCAGTGCTGCGGCACCGGCCCGTCTGGTCACAGCGCTTGATAGCACAGGGGGAGGCCACAGCAGCTCCCTCGTCACGGGACGATCTCATCGGGCTGGCGGGCTTCACCTCCTATTCATCCCTGTATGCAGCCACAGCCCTTGTCCACGGGACTCCGTGCTCTGCCACCAGCCTCAGCCGCTGGGCACGGTCCTCCCGGGGGTTGGTTTTGGGTTTTAGAACCCCTCACTTCCAGGCGCAGGCTGTGAGCCGCACAGAACCGGGAGGAGAGGCTGGAGCCCCAGCCAGGCCTGCCCCTCGGTAGGTGTGGGCACCCAGGGAGCACTCTGCCTGGGCTCCTCGCAGGGCCTGGCGGGCATCTGTCCACAGGCTGAATCCGCGGACAGAGCCTGGAATTGGGGGCTCCTCCAGGAGAATCGAAGGCTGGTCACTGGACAGTGCGGGACCCTCCCGGGGCGGAACCCACAACAGAGTCCAGTTCTCAGGGCCGAGGCCTGCTACTGACGCCAGACGCCTGCTGTCCGCCTCCAATCCTGCCCTGCTACCTGCCCCGGCCCCGCTCTGTGGTCTAGGCCTTCCTCCGGCTCCCCTGAACCCGCCACTCAGCTAACTGGGTCCACGCCAGAGCATCACCCAGCCCACAGACAGCAGCAGGTACCTTCTGAGCCATGTGCCCGGGCTGCCCTGGCACCCGAGGCCGCGGCGGCGTGGGGACAGCCGGGCTGGGGGAGTGGGAGGTGGGTTCCGGGTCCTGCAGTCACACCTGCTGCCCCCACCCTGTGTTCTGCCCACGGCATGGTCCCCAGCCGCGCAGCAGGCCCTGGCCCCGGGGTCCACCGCCCAAAGGAAGGGTGAGGGCAGCAGGGCGGCAAATGGCCCCCACAGCCCAGAGCCCTGGTCCCACAGCTGGTCAGTCAGCCCCTGCTGTCACCGCGTGTCGCTGCCCACTCCTGTTCCTGCCGGCCCGGTCTCTCCATCATCACCCACCCCCTCTCCCGTCCCACGTCCCCTGCCTTGTGCAAGGCAGTGCGCTGGTTCTCCCCGGGGACGTCCGGAGCAGAGCCGCCGGACGCGCCAGGTGCACCCCAGGGCCGCAGACGGCCCCTCGCTCGCGCGCAGTCCAGCAACGGCGCCCCGACTCGGATTGGCCAGGCTTCCACACGTGACTCTCTCAGGGCCAATCGCCGCGGCCCGCCCCGGCGCCCGCGAACCCACGTGGCGTGGGCAGTGGCCCCGACGGCCCCGTCGCTCAGCAGGCTGTGTCCACCGACAGAGCTCCCGGAAGAGGAGCAGGCGGGGGCGGCCAGCGCGAAGGCCCCAGGACGCCGTCCTGCCGCCTGCCCCCGGGACGGGGCCGGGATGTGGCGGGGGCGGGCAGCTCCCTCGGGCCAGGCCGGCGGCTTCTGGGGGCGGGGGCGGGACCCTCGTGTTAGGGGGTTCTGGGGGGTCCCTCGGGTTAGGGGGTTCTCAGCTGGGGGGGTCCCTCAGGTTAGGGGGTTCTGGGGGGCGGGTCCCTCGGGTTAGGGGATTCTCCTGGGGGGGCGGTCCCTCAGGTTAGGGGGTTCTCCTGGGGGGGCAGTCCCTCGGGTTAGGGATTCTCAGCTGGGGGGGTCCCTCAGGTTAGGGTTCTGGGGGGCGGTCCCTCGGGTTAGGGGGGTTCCTCAGTTAGGGGGTTCTCCTGGAGGGGCGGGTCGCTCAGGTTAGGGGGGTTTCTCTGGGGGGCGGGTCCCTCGGGTTAGGGGTTCTCCTGGGGGGGCAGGTCCCTCAGGTTAGGGGGGTTTCTGGGGGGGCGGGTCCCTCAGGGGATTCTTCGGGGGCGGGTCCCTCGGGTTAGGGGTTCTGGGGGGGCGGATCCCTCGGTTGGGGGGGTTCTCTGGGGGGGCGGTCCCTCGGGTTAGGGGGGTTCTCGGGGGGGTCCCTCAGGGGGTTCTCCTGGAGGGGCGGGTCCCTCAGGTTAGGGGGTTCTCGGGGGGGTCCCTCAGGGGGTTCTCCTGGAGGGGCGGGTCCCTCAGGTTAGGGGGGTTTCTGGGGGGCGGATCCCTCGGGTTAGGGGGGGTTCTCTGGGGGGGCGGGTCCCTCGGGTTAGGGGGTTCTCTGGGGGGTCCCCTCAGGTTAGGGGGTTCTCAGTGGGAGGCGGGGGCGGGTCCCTCGGGGGGTTCTCCCCAGGTGGGGGGCGGGTCCCTCAGGGGGGTTCTGGGGGGCGGGTCCCTCAGGTTAGGGGATTCTTCTGGGGGGGCGGGTCCCTCGGGTTAGGGGGTTCTGGGGGGGTCCCTCAGGTTAGGGGGTTCTCAGTGGGAGGCGGGGGCGGGTCCCTCGGGATTCTCCTCGGAGGGGCGGGTCCTCGGGGGGTTCTCCCCAGGTGGGGGGCGGGTCACTCGGGTTAGGGGTTCTCCTGGGGGGCGGGTCCCTCGGGTTAGGGGGTTCTCCTGGGGGGGCGGGTGCCTCGTGTTAGGGGGTCCTGGGGGTCGGGTCCCTCAGGTTAGGGGGTTCTCAGCTGGGGGGGTCCCTCAGGTTAGGGGGGGTTCTCCTGGAGGGGGGCGGGTCCCTTCAGGTTAGGGGGTTCTCAGCTGGGGGGTCCCTCAGGTTAGGGGGGTTCTCAGTGGGAGGCAGGGGCGGGTCCCTCAGGTTAGGGGGGTTCTCTGGGGGGGCGGGTCCCTCGGGTTAGGGGATTCTCCGGGGGGGGCGGGTCCCTCAGGTTAGGGGGTTCTCCTGGGGGGGCGGGTGCCTCGTGTTAGGGGGTTCTGGGGGGCGGGTCCCTCAGGTTAGGGGGTTCTCAGCTGGGGGGGTCCCTCAGGTTAGGGGGGTTCTCAGTGGGAGGCGGGGGCGGGTCCCTCGGGGGTTCTCCCCAGGTGGGGGGCGGGGCCCTCAGGTTAGGGGGGTTCTCAGCTGGGGTGGGAAACCCATCGGGTGGGTGGGCCCTCCTCAGCCGGGGGTCCCTCCATCCTGCCGTGGGGAGGCCTCCCCGGCCCGGTGTCCCTGGCCTGCCACGCCCCGCCCTTGCTACGTGCCTCGCCGCCATCGCGGGCTCCCCCGGAGCCGGGTCAGGGCGGGGGCTTCGTCCAAGGGCGCCCCGGGTCCGCGCGGGGACCCCCTCCGAGGGCGCCGGGCCCCTTCTGCGGACACAAGGGTGGGGGCGCGGGACAGACGCGGGCCAGGCAGGGACCCCCAGCCCCCGTGGACAGGGCCCCCGCCGAGCAGATTTCGGGGTGCCTGCGACTGAGGACTTGGGGGGCAGCCCTGCGGGTCAGGGCCTTGCCACGCGCCGCGGCTGCCCAGCAGGCTGCAAGGAACACACGCGGTGCGAAATCGCTGCGGAGTTTATTGGCTGTGATCCCATCGGGGAGGACACACGCGAGGGCCCCGACATGCAGGGGGAGGCGCGGCGGGGCGGACGGACACGACATCCACGGTCCACGCTAAGCTGGCGGCCGGCGCCCCGCGCGGGGACGGGGAGCGGGGCTTCCGGGAGAGCGCCCCGTCCGCTCGGAGCGGGCTTAGCGTGTGGAAGGGGCGTTTGTGGAAGACGCGGACGTGGGGGCGCAGAGCGAGCGGGGCATGCTGCGGCCGAGGGCAGGGGCCGGCGCCGCGGGCGGGACTGCAGCCTCACTATGGCTTCTCTAAGAGCTGCGGGAGGGCGTGCAGGGCGCCGCGGGGCCGCGCCCTGGCCCGCAGCACGTGGACGCGGGGTGCGTTTCGTACGAGGTCAGGCCGGGCCGGCCCCGAGGCAGCGGCTCCGCTGTCACGATAAACTCGGCGAACACGGGGGAACTCATTTACCTGAGATTCGACATGTTGTGAAGCGGATGGCACGAGGACGGGGCGGACGAAGGGCCGGGGCGCGAGTGGGCCGGTCCGCCCGCCGCGGGCCTCCCGCCGGGAGAGCTGGGCCGGGCCCGCGGCGCTCAGCGCACGTGGGCTGCGGGACTCGGAGCCTATTGCTTGGTGGCCCTCGGAGGACACGAGCGGAGGGCGGGGGCGCGAGGGCCGGCGGCGGCCGCTCGGCCCCAGGCCCCCGGCCTCGCTATGGCTGTGCTCCTGAGTGTGGGCGCGGCGCGGCGACGGCAGTGCGGGGGGGGCGCGGGAGGGGCGGCCTAGGACTATGGCTTGTTTCGCGTCGGGGCTGCGCGCGGCGCGCGGCCGCCCACGGCTCCTCCGCCGGGTCTGTACAGGGGCGGAGGGCTCCGGGCTCGGGCGCGCGGCGCGGCGGGGCCTTACTTCTTGAACATGTCCTGCAGCGGCCCGGGCAGGTACTTGATGACCGTGTCCAGGATGCTCTCGTCCTCCTCCTCCGGCTCATCCCCGCACCCCGGCGGGATGGCCTTCTTGGGCCTTGTCAGGCTGCCCTCGGAGCTGGCCTCCATAGCCGCCTGAGCCTCGGCCTCGCGCTCCTCCTTCTTCTTGATGCCATACTGAGGGCAGAGGGCAGGGTCCGCGTCAGCGAGTCTGCCCCGAAGCACCCAGCCCACCCGGCCAAGGAGGAAACGCCTCTGCCCCAAGGCTGCTGGAGACCTGGGGAGACCCCCACCCCAGGAGGCCTTGCGCCTGCAGGGGCCCACTGGGCAGCCAGAGAGCCAGCTGTTCTGTGGGCCACCTATTTGCCTAGCTTGGTCTCTGCTGGTCACACCCTAAGGCCTGACAGAGGCTCCCAGATGCAGCAGTGACCCCAGCCCCTCGCATCCACCCCGTGAAAAGTTCGAAGAAGGCTGGCTCGCTGGTTGCTTCCTGGCGTCCCAGCCTCGTGGGGCCTCAGCCGACATCTGGTCACTCTCTGCTCCCCATCCGGCTTTCCCACCCCCTGTGTATGTCCTGTCTCCCCTTTGTGGTAGGCTGGATCGTGTCACCCCAAAATCCACGTCATCTGGGGTGTATTTGCAAACAGGACCTTGGTCAAGGTCATCCTGGATCTAAGGGGACCCCAACTCCAGGAAGGGTCTTTATGAGCAGCAGGAAAGGCACACAGAGGCGAGGCCACTGAAGATGGAAGACGGGCACACCTGACACGTGGGGTAGCGGCCTGAGGTCCCAGCAGCTGCGCCAGGCAGGAAGGCCACTCGTGGGTCCTTCTTTTCTCTCAAGAGGTTTTGTGATAAACCCGGGGTGGCCTCAGTGACAATACACCCCTGCCAACACCCCAGAACAGCGTGGACACTGCAGTCTTGGTGAGGCCACGAACCACCAAACAAGTGGCGGGCACAGGGCAGGAGTGGGGTCCACCCAGGCTGGGGGCTCAGGGTCTCCCCTGAGCCAGGGCTGACCTCCAGCTCCAAGGGGGCGATGAGGTGGGCACCAGCGGGGGCAGTGCTGGGCAGGACCAGGTCACACACCCATGCTGGGTCACCTGCCTCGGGAAGGGGGCTTTCCGCCCAGGGGGAGGCCCTGGCCATTTCTGCCTTAGTGCCCCCTCACCCTGCCCACAAAGTGCCTGGGTCTCAAGGAGGCCCCCTCCCAGATGGGGGCTGTCTGTGTCCTTGTGCCCTCCCCTACAGCTGTGGGTAGCCTCGGACCTGGGGCTGCAAGGGCCATGTCCAGCTGGAATCTGAGCAGAGGATGCCATGGTCCCCACCCCCAGCAGCCTGAGCTTCCTCAGCCCCTCTTCCCTCGGCACAGCTGGGAGTGCCACGGTCGCCAGGCCAGAACACCCGGCGCCCACACCTCACTGACCGGTCAGCCAGGCGAGGGAACCAGGCACACTGGGCCTCCCCAGCGGCCTGCCTCACTCTGTAAGGGCAGCAGCCCTGGGCACAGAAGGGGGGCAGGAGCATGTGTGGGCTGGGAGAGGGAAACTAGGTCAGGCCAGAGAGCACGTCCCCCAGCCGGGGCACGGGCAGGCGGGCTCCTGCAGCATGGCGCCTGTTTACCGGTGTGGGGCACACACGGCAGAGGGACTTGGGAGCACACAGCGTGGAGGAAGTCGGGTCCTCCCCTCGGGGCCCAGGGAGGCCCCAGGCCCCACCAGGACTGCGTGGTCACTCTGAGCTTGCCTGAAGGGCCAGTCACTCCACTAAGTGTCCAGGCTGCCCTACCTGGACGGGCACTGAGGCTCTTGCGCTACAGACACCCGGGCCAGGTGCCCGCCAGTCCCCAGGACAATAGCCCACGGAGATGACCAGAGAGGGCGCCCGGCCAGCACATGGACCCCTGGAAATCACAGCCTGTGGGGCTGGTGGCAGGGGCAAGAACCCAGAGGCAGGAGGTGACACCAAGTCTGGAGGAGGCTGCGTCCTGGACACATAAGTGCCGTGCCTGCCTGTGCCCCTGTCCACCTCAGAAGCCCAGCTCCCAACGGAGCCAGGAGAGGCTGCTTTGTCCTCTCAGGGGTCGGATGAGGCAAGGAGGGGCCCTGGGTCTGAGCCTTCCCCCTGCACAGTCCCAGGGCACTGGAGGAGTGAGGGAAGGCACAGGCCCCCCCAACAGCCTCTCGGTCCTGAGCCCCAGCACTGGAGGCCCCATTCCCACTGCTGTTTCCTGCACCCCAACAGGGGCTGACTGCTCCCTACCCCACCCCCAGGCTCTCTGGAGCCTCCTCCCCCAGCTGAACAGGTAGCTGCATGTGGCTATGCTAGACTCGGCTCTCAGCAGGGACCCAGGCCCACATCCAGGTGCCCACTCTGGCCACAACTCCCAGGAGGTCACTCAGATGACTAGAACAGGGGCCACTGTCAGCTGGACACCCACCCCCTCACCATGCCCACCCTGCCCGCCTTGCCGGTTCCAGCCCCCAACTTTGTGAATCCAGGAAGGCAGGGAGCTCCCTCCCTAGAGAGGTCTGACCTCAAACCCAGGCTCCGAAGATCCCTGGCCCCAAAAGCAGCCCCCACCCCATCCACAGGGCCTCCCCCAGGACAGACCGGCCTCACAGGGAGCCCCGGCCCAGATGTGACAGCTGCCCCCATGGGACCATGTCCCGGCACCTGTTCCGTGCATAGGTGTCCACAGAGAGAGACCCCATGCGGCCCCTGCCGCGCCCAGAACCAGGCCAGCATCTGCCTGGGGCATGTCCCGTCCTGTGCCCACCTTGTCGCGGATGCCCTGGCGCATGGCCTCTCGCTCGGCCTCCATCTTGGCGTACTTGGCCTTGCGTTCCTCCTCCTCCTGCCTCAGCGCCTCCTGCCGCTCCTCCTCCTTCTTGGCAGCATCGGGGTCCTTCTCCTCGTCACCCCCAAGCATCTTCCCCATGTCCTTGGTGGCCCCTGGGGGCGGGAGGGCAAGCAGTCAGGCAGCTGAGTGGGGAGCGAGCTCGCGCAGGACCCGCGGTTTGAGGGCGGCGGGGTTGCGGGTGGGACTCTGTGCAGGGGTGGCTGGACACGGGGCTCCGTGTATGGTCTGTGTCATCTCTGGGCCTGTGCCTAGTCGAGGGTCAACCCTCAGCAGGGCCGGCAGGACTCGCCAGATCTGCAGGCTGGACAGGAGCAGGCAGGGCGCCAGGTCGGATGCCAGCAGTCAGCGGTCGGTCAGGCTCCGGCACCAAGGCCCCGATCCCTCTGCTGTGTTTGCTCACGAGCCCCTGACCCACGCCCCTCCCCCTCCCCCCATGCTGTCTGTGGTTCACCCACGGAACAGGCACAGCAGCCCCTGCACTGAGTCAGCGGTGCTGCCCAGGAGGTAGCTCACCACACCCTGCAGGGCCACGGGGCGTCAGGGCCTGGCTAGGCACCCCGTTGCCCCTGCCAGTCACAGCCACGTCCCACCGTGGCCCTCAATCTGCAGGAGCAGAGTGCCACTCCCACCTGTGGTGTATGCAGACGGCAGGCACAGGCTGCCCCCTGCCTCCCGCAGGCGGGACCAGTGACACCCACGGCCTCTCTGGACCCAGCCTCCCCTTGCGTGTGTGCTCTCGCTCCCCTGGGGCAGGACCTCCTGAGCACCACCCCGGCTACCTGAGTCATGCCTCAGGGGAACCACCCGCTGAGTGCGGGCGCCTAGCGCCCCGCGCCTCCACCCGTGTGCAGAGGTGCCTCTCCCTGCTCTGGATCCAGAGGCCCTGCCCTGGTCCCAGCGGCAGACACCGAGGGCCCTCTCCAGCCTCCGAGGGCAGCGCGTGTGCCGCCCCCTGCTGGCGGGATGAGAACAAGGTTCTGGTGGAGTGTTCTGGACTGAAAACTGGACGCCTGAGGCCGAGCCATTCCGCGCCACGAGGGCCTTCCTACTTCTCTGGCCATCTTGTCGCCCTCGTCACTGCGGGGACCTGGAGCCAGCCTGTGTCAGGAACTTGCCGATGGCACAGATCCGGACGCATCAGAGAACCAAGAGCCTGCAGTCAGTTTTCAGCTGCTTCTGCAAAATTCTGCAAAGCGGATTTTAGGGCACGGGTTGGCGGGAAACTGGGTCAGAGAAGAAGCCGAGTCCACTCCCCCTCCCAACGGTTCCCACTCGTGCCCGGGCCTCTGCCTGCCGAGCTGTGGTCTCTGGCAGGGGCAGAGGAGGCCAGGACAAACCACACAGCCTGACTGCTCTGCGCTGGTTCACACTCAGCGAGAGCGGCTGTGAGTCCTGTCTCTCTCCTCGCCCGCTTTCCTCTCTCCTGCGCAGCGCGGGGTGGGCTGCACCCCAAGGCCTGCCCCCCCCGCCACAGGCTCTGGTTCCAGTCGAGGCGGCTGCGTTTATTGAGCACCGACTGTGCGCTAAGCTCTGTGGGTGTCCTGCAGGGACTTCGGCGGCCCCACTTGAGCTCCGGGGAGGGAAACCCCACCTTTAGGAGAGGAGGAGCGGGGAGGCCAGCAGCCCCGCCACCCACACTGTCAGAGGGACCAGGGAGCCACAAGCACCCCCCGTGCTTCCTCCCACCCCCAGTGCTGCAGGAACGGCCTCCGGAACCTTCCAAACGCTGGAGTGGGGTGCCAGAGCCGCCCGGCGGGAAGCTTGTTCCTGGCTCCTGAGCCGGAATCACCGTTTGCTCTCTTGGCACAGACACCGGAGCTGCCGGGTGGGTGGGGCTGCGCCTCTCACTCCGTGCCCCTTGCCCCCACCCCACCCTGAGCTCCCCATCCTGTACTCGGTGCCTGCTTCCCCGCCCAGAGCCCCTGCCCCTTGCCATGACATCACGCAGTGGGCAGATGAGGAAGCTGAGGCGTGAAGCAGTTTTACGCCGCACCCTGGACGGGGACATCCCTCCCGCCGGGTCGCCAAGGGTCCCGGCCTCTGACCCCACCCCTCCTGCACTCCTCCCAGAGCTTCTGCTCCTGCCTGGAGAAGTGGGCACCGGCGCTCAGGGAGGGGAGGCACAAGCGGGGCTGGGAAGACGGGGTGGACACCTGTGCACCTCACGGTGTGGGGAGGTGCAGAATCCCGAAGGCGGCAGGAGACAGCCCAGGCCCTGTCCCACACTGCCCCAGCAGGAAAGGTGACGTGTAGCCCTGGCCCCGGTGTGGCCACAGCGCTCTGGCCCACTGTTGTCGGTCACACGGACACACAGTGTCTGCATCTGAAGAAGACAGGGTTGATTTCAGAACCGTTTTATAGTCACCGGAGTTGCTGACAGCTCACGGCTATGCTCGGCACCTAAACAGAGCCCCCACCTGGCAGCCACTCGGGAAATACTTGGTGAATGACGAATTTTTAGAAACCAAGAGATATATATTGTGTATGCAGCCACACCCCACTGCGTTAGCGTCCGTGGGGACAGTTGCGTGCCCAGCTCTGGCTCCTGACCCAGCTTCCTGTTGATGCGAACCCTGGGAAGCCACTGTGATGCTACCCACGTGGGAGATCAGTTCGGGGCTCGGCTCATGGTGTCAGCCTGGCCCAGTGCCACTGTGGGCATTTTGAGGGTGAATCGGGGATGGGAGCTCTCTGTCTCTCTGTATCTCACTCTGTGTCTTTGTCCCTCTTCCTCTCAAATACTTTTTTTTAAAGATTTATTTATTTATTTGAAAGTCAGAGTTAGAGAGAGAGAGAGGTCTTCCATCCGCTGGTTCACTCCCCAACTGGCCGCGATGGCTGGAGCTGCACTGATCTGAAGCCAGGAGCCAGGCGCCTCCTCTAGGTCTCCCACGTGGGTGCAGGGCCCAAGCACCTGGGCCATCTTCTACTGCTTTCCAGGCCATAGTGGAGAGTTGGATCGGAAGTGGAGCAGCCAGAACTCGAACCGGCGCCCACATGGGATATCCGCCCTGCAGGCAATGGCTTTACCAGCTACGCCACGGCACAGGCCCCTCAAATCCATTTTTAAAAGAGAATACACTTGAGAACCACAGTCACGTCTGATGAAAGTCCTACAGGCCGAATGCACAGAGAACTCTCAGGCTCGGAACAAGAACACAGCCTGAGAAGGATTTGAGCAGGCATTTCACAAGGAACATGAGAAGTTGGTAACCGGGATGCCACAGACACAGCTGGCTGACTCCTTCAGGAAGCTCAGCCCTAGACCACGAGATGCCACCCGTGCCCCTTCAAGTGTCTAAGAGACTGAGCACAGTAAGTGTCGGCAGGGACATGGGAGAACTGAGGCCTGCACACTGCCGAGGGCACAGTCACTGGAAACAGCTCAGGTCATAAAGTTAAACACGCCTGCAGTACCCAGAAACAGCGCCGCAGTTCCTCTTACCCAACACAAACGAAAACTGATGTCCACATAATGGCAGGAACTTGAATGTTCCCAGAGTTCTCTCGGCAGCACCAGAGGCTGCAGCCCACGATGGGTGGGCCGCGGTGCATCCACAGCAGTGAAGACAACGGGGCAGAATCCCCACAGCTGTGCGAGACGAAGAAGCCAGACTCGAACGCTCGATTTTGCCATGCACACAGACACACAGAGCACCCGCAGCGATGGCGCACCGGGAACCGCCTGGCTGGGTGCTGGTGATCACGGTGCAATCGGCCCTGGGAGTGGGCAGAGCCAGCCAGCACAACTGAGCTCAAACAGAACCAAGACTACATCGTGGGGCTGGCCGGCGTTCTACATTGGAGCACAGGTTCGGGTCCGGGCTGCTCTGCTTCCCATCCAGCTCCCTGCTGTGGCCGGGGAAAGCAGCAGAAGATGCCCAAGTGCTTGGGCCCTGCACCCACCTGGGAGACCCGGAAGAAGCTCCTGGCTCCTGGCTTCGGATCGGCGCAGCTCCGGCCATTGTGGCCAATTGGGGAGTGAACCAGCGGATGGAAGACCTCCCTCTCTGCTTAACTCTTTCAAATAAGTAAATAACTACAATATATATCTACGTAACTGAAGGCCAAGAAGTAAAAAAAAAAAAAAAAAAAAGAGTTGGGGAGAAAAGCAGACGCAAGGGGCACCCAGACAACAGCTGCAGACCTGCGCTCTCGTCAGAGCCGGGGCGCGGCCGTGCTCGCGTGGTGCGTCCCCCGAGAACACAAAACCACAGAAGCCAGCCGGCCCTCTGCACCCGCCTCTCCCGCCTCTCTGGCTGATGACACCTCTGTAGGCAAAACCCACCAGACTGTGCACTGCAGCAGAACGCCAGAGCCAGCAGTGACGCCCAACCCTCAGCCACAATGTTGCCTTTCGGTGTCCATAACAAGCCAGGAACTGAACGGCTCAGCTGGACAGGGACATCTGTGGCACCCTGCGAGGACAGGACGCCGTCTCCGGTGGCTCCAGAGGCAGCTGGGCATGGACAGGCCCTGAGGAATGGCCACCCTCCCCAGAGGGTGACCACAGCCACGGGGAGCAGCCCCTGGTGGCCTGGAGAGACGGGGCCAGCAGTGCACCGCGGCCGTGCCTCCCGGACGCCAGTGCTGGAAGTGGGAGACAGAAGCCCGAGGATGAGCGTGCGTGAGGGCTCCGCTCTGGAGACAGGAGAAGGCCTGGAGGGCTGCGCCCCAGCTCCCGCTGAACCTGAGCCCTGGAGACAGCACGGGTTCTCTGAAGCTCCACGGAACACGCTCACAAGGTGAGTCAAGTGCCCGTCCACACCACAGCGGGACGCGTCTCACACCATCAGCGTGGCTGTCATCACCCCTGTGCCCTGGTGGTGGGAACGAGACATGGTTCAGCCACTGTGGAACACAGCATGGCGCCTCCAAAGGAGTGCGACTGGGAGTTACGTGGAGCAGGCGTTCAGCCTGGAGGTTAGAGACACGGCCCTCCCACATCCGAACGCCGGCTTCTGACTCCAGCTTCCTGCTGACGCGGACCTACGAGGCAGCGGGAGTGGCTCACATAGCTGAGCTCTGCCACCGCGTGGGGGCCTGGATCGAGCTCCTGGTTCTGGGCCACCGACATCTGGGGCTGACCATC